CAAAAAAGTACTCCAGAGTGTTGTTCAGCATGGGGGTGAGTAGAAAATGAAGGCTAATCATGTTTTGGGTGTACTATTCCTTTAACTATTTCTAGCCAGTATTGTTCAGCTCCCCACACCGGCTTAGTCTGGTTTATTCACCATTTCATGTCCCTGAAGACAGTTTAAGGACACAGAGGCCTTTATGTTCCTGCTGATCCTGACGCTCTTTGACCCTGTCCTATATGGTTCTCACTGAGGGATGGTCTTGCGTCATTCATTCAGGCTTGGCTTGCCAGTTCCTGCAAAGAACCTGCCAATGGAGAGACAACCAGGGGAATTTAACATACCTTTATGATCATCCAAACACTAAAACCCTCCACCACATTAAGCTGTATCTTTATACAAAAAAAAGATTGGTTTTTTGTCTAAACGAAGTATTTGCATCAAGTAGGATAAACAAAAGCGTTGGTGCAAAATGTCCAGGTTTTTGCTTTGAGTGGCCAATTATTTAATTTCTTTGAGGACCCTATATGATGGAATATGCTTTTGGTTTTTGTTTCTCTTACTCTATCTCTCACTCTCCTTTAAGGCTCAATAAGTTCTTCAGCATCAGACCACTGGCTAATCAGGCTAACAGGAGACAGCAAGAGAGGCAGTCTGGTGTCTCCTTCTTCCACCAACATCTCATCTTCAGTGCAAGACTCACCACAGTCTCCAGTTGTCAGAGAAAATGGTTTTGAGGAGGAAAGGGGTTAGTGGGAACCTTCATATACGGTCTTTTTTAAAAAGATCTTTCTTTTGAACATGACTAGTAAAGCTTTTTTTTCCATCTTCAGGTGGCTTTGAAAATCGTCCATTTGTCCGAGGACTTCAAGGGCGCAGCGTGAGCATGAGGGTTCCTACCAAACCGAAGGAGAGTCTGAGCAAAAAGCTTCCTATGCGTTGGTCCCTAGGTTCAAAAGATAGACGAAAACCTGACCAGGATTCCCCCAAAATCCAGGAACCTGACCCTGCTGAGCTAGTGCAGTACTTGGAGTCTGGCCGGCGACCCCGTTGTACCAAGGACTCAATAGTAACTGTGATGAATGAATCGCGTAGCAGCAAGAAAGCACCTGCAGGTAGAGCACCCAGTGTTCGATCTTCAAATGGTGGGAGTATGAGTTGTGTTGGTAAGATGGAACAAGAGCCGCAATATTCTCAGGTCCCAGAGGGTCAAAAAAGGCAATCAGAAAGGACATCAGAGAAGACGTCTGGTAAGACAGCCAGTCTGAGACGAAAAAATGAAAGTGTGGCGAAAGAAGAGACGTCTGGGAATATGAGTTCTAACTCTGGTAGCAACACCCTTTCCAGGAGGAAGGATGCAAGGAGGCACAGCTCTTCCAAGTCTTCTCAAGAAAAAGAGGCGAAATTTAGTTCCAGCACCGGAGTACCGCCTAGTTACAGTACATCAAGCCTTCAAGATGGAACTCTGAAGAGACAAAAGGGGGACAAAGCTAAAAGGGATCACCAAGACACTGAGGCAGACAAGTCAAAGACGACAAAAGATGAAGTGCCCAAGAGTCACGACGGTCTCCTCTCTTTTCTGAAAGGCAACTTCCTAAAGAAGGATAAGGACTCTAAGAAATCCAAGGATGGGGAGTCAGGAAAAGGAAGCAGAGAAGAGGAAGGAAGAAGGACCTTACCTAGAGCGTCATTACCAAATGGAGCGGCTGGAGGAAGAATCGCAGTTGAGGGAAGTAAATCAAACGGTTCAGGCCGGCGGGTTGAAGAACTGGCAAACGGGAAGATAGGACGGTCCTCGGCTGACATTAGACGCTCGCAGAGCTCCTCTAACATACCCACCAAAGCAGAGCAGAGCATCCGCAGGACAGCATCCTTACATCGTAATGGGATGCCCACAAACCCAGCATCATCACGGAGCGTTCCCGCAGACAAACCGTCTTTCAGCACCCTGCAAAGGACGCGCTACAGCACAACCTCTCTGGGGCGCAAGAAGACGGTCCCCGAGTCGAGCTTCTGATGCAGAGTTTTAATTTTTTTTACTTACTTGGATAGAAGAACTCGCCACCATTTAGATCAAAGCAATAGAGCCTCTTTTACCTTAAAGTTATTTAGTGGATTGCACAATACAGAAGGGCAGTACAGTTAATGAAGGGAGATTACAAACTGCAACTTGAAAATATGTGGCCTGTCTATTTAGACACATTGGATTAAATACTTTTTGTATAAATATAGATATATTCATCTATATATCTGTGTTGTTTTTTAGGATTTAAAAGAAGTGCCTAACAGAATATTTTTTGTTTATCAAGTTGAACTAGCAGGTACAGACTTTTATCTCCTTTTAATGCAGTATGAGTGTTTGAACGCGTCGCTTCATTATTAACTGATGGTTTAAAATAGGACACGCTGATTGTGTTCATTTGCAAGAATGTATTTTCTGGGATTAATTAACACAGGTGCTTTGGGGCTTTGTTTCCTGATTATTAACTATTGTATGATTGAAGTTTGTTTAAGGTTAATCTGAATGCCAGACCTTTTTTTTTTATTTTTTTTTATCATGCATTAATTCCTCTCAAATGTTTAACAATGCAGTGATTATTCAGTACTGTGAAGAAAAATATTCGTACAAGATGGATTAATTTTATACACTGTAGAGGTTATTTTTCAGGACTTCTACTGCTGCTGTTTCTCTGTTTGTTTTTCCACTATTAATAGTGTTTTGCTGGAATTGTATTAACTGTTGATGCATATATTTATCAATGGGAGTATGGTGGGGAAACAGATGGCAGAGGGAATTTTTTTTTTTTTTTTTTTTGCAAAGATGAAGTTGGTTTGTTTTTATTGTTGCTGCTGTTCTTTCAGAGGTAGAAAATCTGCCTCTTTGAGCCTTAAATCATTGAATGTTCCCTTAAATGACTGTTAGGCAGATGACTCTATGTGAAGCACCGCATCTGCAGCTGCATCTTAACAGCTCCCTGAGAAAAACTGACACCAACTTCGAAGGTATTTGAGTTTATTTAATGTCATTACATTATTTTAGCATTATCTTAATGTTAATTCTTTATATACTTCAAGTAATACAAACTAAGTGGCTATGAATAATGTGGCAGCAATAACAACAAAGAAAAACACCCAAACAAAAGTAAAAATTTTATATTATACACATGATTTTTTATTGTGCAGTGTCAGGTATTGCACGGCTATTTACCACAGTTAAATGTAATCAAATTGGTGCTGCTGCCAACTAACACAAGTTATTGTGATGCAGAAAAAGGTTTTCTTGTGTTTTTCCCTTTGGAAAGTTTAAAACATTTTACCTAAGTGAAATGATTTAATACTTTTTCTTTATTCGGTTTACAAAAAGGATTTTCTTCCATGTCCTGCATTTACACAGTGATTGCAATCGAAAATACTGTAATACTTATCAAAACCAAAAGGTAACGATACATTTAATAACATTAGAATTGAAACGAGAAGATTATCGGAGTATGTGAAACAATTCAAGGTTAAATACTAGTGTTGCACTGATACCGATACCAGTATCGTGCAGGTGGTATCGGTATCGGCGAGTACCAACAAATAGGGCACCGATACCATTTAGAGCAGTGTTGCCAACTCAGCGACTTTGTCGCTATATTTAGCGACTTTTCAGACCCCTCCAGCGACTATTTTTCAAAAAAGCGACTAGCGACAAATCTGGCGACTTTTGAAGCTCTTACTGGCGGCTTTTGGAGACTCTTACGTGAAAGCATGTATCATTCCTACTCCAGAGATGGGAAGTAACGAAGTACAAATACTTCGTTACTGTACTCAAGTAGATTTTTTCTGATATTTTTACTTTACTTTACTACTTATCTTTATGGCGACTTTTTACTTCTACTCCTTACATTTTTACACAAATATCTGTACTTTCTACTCCTTACATTTTAAAAAAATTGTCTCGTTACTTTAGTTTTGAATCATTTCAATGGAGTTACCGTTATTATTTTTCACGTCATCAATACCAAATTCAATCTAATTGGATGGGAATCTACGTTGCATTTGACGCACCACTACAAGATGAATCGACAGATTCGGCGGTATTCATTGGCGGCAAATCATTGCAGCTTGGTGGCGGTGGCGTTAGCATCGTAGCATGGACGATGCAATGATTGAAAATGAACACAACGGAGATCTAGTCCTATTGGCAGACATCCATTTAAAATGTAGGCAACGGCATGAAAAAAGTGGTTTCTACTTTTACTTTTATACTTTAAGTAAATTTACAAGCCTGTACTTTGTTACTTTTACTTGAGTAAAGAAGTTTAATCAGTACTTCCACTTTTACCAGAGTATTTTTTAACACACGTATCTGTACTTTTACTCAAGTACGGAAAGTGAGTACTTTTGCCATCTCTGTCCTACTCTGCCGTGGGGCGCCTCCCCCATCCCCCCTCTCAGCGCTGCAGTCAGAGCCGCAGGATGTTTACCCTCAGCATCCAGACTGCAAATGAAGCGCGCATGCACCGGGACTGACGGCGCAAATTGATCACGCGGTGCCGCTGCGCCCCGACTTACATTCAAGGCGGGAGCGAGCGGGATGTAAATGTAAAATGTTATTTAGACTAAAATAAATAACTGAATTTGAAATATTTTATCTTAAAGCTACAGTGTGTAACTTTTAGCGACATCTAGCGGTCAGACTGCAGACTGCAGCAACATGAACATCTCCCCCCCACCGCTTCTCCCCCCCCCAACAGTACGGCGAGCGTTACGGGACAAAATGTCTTCCACGACGTCCGCATCACCTACCTTCTCAAGTGATGAGGTTTGTTTACATAGATAATTTTACAGATAGTATTTCATTAGTCTGTGTAGGGTATAGATTTCATGTAGACTTAAGATAATAAATATACCCGTTATTTTTTCTACGTCGTTGTGACGTTTTCGCAATCTCGCAATCGCTAGTTTGTTGGCTCTGCGCTGCCGTAGCGCAAAATGTCTGCCTCCATGGCTGCGAGACCCGCTCCTATGTAATTATAAATAACGAATTCTAAGGCAACGCAAATATTAAGGTTAAGAGGCTGAGCTCGTAGATGATGATAAATAACATAGTTATGTATAATATATTACATTTCTGACTGTATATCCCTGTAATTATTACACTCTGTAGCTTTAAATAAATAACAGCATTTGATTCAGACAGCCACAGTCCGTCACTTAATCACCTTGTTTAGTAAAGTGAGTAAAAACACTATTTTATAGTGTTTTTACTCACTTTTTGTCTTTCTGTAACGACATTATTTCTCCCACAGCATCAATAACATGCACATCACTTCCTGGCAGATTATGCAAAGTAGGCGATGATGTCATTTAGCGACTTTTAGCGCAGCCAATAGCTACTCTCCGTACTGAGGAGTTGGCAACACTGATTTTGAGAGCCTAAAGTTTCTTCAACTATTGTCACCCATTCCAGGTAGGCAATAAAAAGTTCTACTGGATTCACTTTGTTTTAGTCTTTTTCCTGCTTCACAAAGTTATGCAGCACCTTGATAAACCATGATGGTGATTATTTTACATCCCAGTAGTCTGCAGTTCTTCATATATACACACACACATCAATTTCAAACGGATGGTATCGGCCGATACGGCACAGCCAGGTATCGGGTCCAAAAAATGGCATCGGCGTAACACAACTAAATACGCTGCAGGAGTAGTTGTGGCCTTTTTTGATTTCTCAACTTTTTTTCCCTAATTCTTTATCTTCAAATCACATTCAAAATGAAATGGACAAAGAGTTAAGACTGTGGGATTCATTTTTTTTCAGAAAGCAATGGTGACCGTGCTTAAAGTGGGTGTTTTATAAAATGACTCGGCAAAAATGGCCTCCGTTGGAGTTTTCACTGCTGAACAGAAAAGTCTCATTTTGAACTATTTGAAAAATATTCTGTAGGCTAAGACAAAATCTTTTTTATTCTTTTTTTTTTTTTTTTTTTAGATATTGAGCTCAGCTAAATCTGGCAAAACAGATGCCACAAATTAAAAGAAAAAAGATCAAACCGACAATCAAAAATGGCGGCGGTAGCAGAAATACCGACGCTAATGAAATCCTTCGCTTTATTGGACACTTGTTTTTTTTTTTTTTTTTTTTTTTTATGTGGCCTATTTGATTGGAATATTTTTTCCTTTTTTTTAAAGTTAAAAATTCTATTTTGAAAGTATTCAGATTATTAAATTATTAAATTTCTTAAATGATCAAACTTTGAACTGTGACCAAAAATGAACAGAAGAAACTTTAACATTTTAGAAATGAGCATTAAGTAAATAAAAAATTTACTTTGAGAAGCTTTTATTTAATAATTTACACGCATTAAGTTGTTTCAGGTAAGAATTTTATTACCTTTTATCACGATGTACCTTAAAGTCTCTGACATAATGCACATTTTAAGGAGATGGTTTTATTTTGATGTTGAAAAGTTTGTAAAAACTGTTTTCTTCTGCCTTCATAACTGTAAATAAGAACTTTGGTGCAATAGAAATATCTTTGTCTAGATAAATCAGTATGTTATAATTCCCAAACTGCAATGATTGTTGAAACGTTGACAGATGAAATACTTTTTTAATCCTGAAAAGATTATATTTGTTGTTTATCAGTTCTCTTCTGATCAGAAATGCTGTTAGAATCTCATATCTCATGTCTTGTTGTCATTAATCAAAGATTCGGGCGGTCAGGCAGTGGTACTTTATGCATATTTTTTTAAAAGATTATTGTGAAAACAAATTATTTTTGTAAAATTTTTTACATCTTTGATAAATAAGTGAAAAGATTTAGCAAAAACTGCTGCAACAACATAAAAACACTAAACTGTCACTGAATTTCTGAGTCTTTTCTTTCTTGAATGTTAAGAGGCATGGAGCTGGCTTTTATTTTGGATGCATTTGTTTGCGAGTGATGAAAAGGATCCTTACTGACTGACATTTTAGATGAAAGACAGAAAAGGTCAAAAATCATCTCTTGACTTTGTAAAAACAAGCTGAGATGCGTATTTATCAGCAGAGCGGGTCTCTGCCTTTGTCTGCTCTAATCACAGCATTCAGTGAGAAAACCAAGCTGTTATCGTGTCCGGCTTATAGTTTCATTCTAACCTCCTTCATTACATCCACTGGTTTCTCTCTCAGCTTATTTTCCTGATCCTATTAATGTGGAAAAATTCTATGATTTCCTTTGTGGTAAACAGCCTGTACTTATATTCTATTCAGTTTATTTCTATAGCTCCAATTCACATCATGTCATCTCAGGTCACTTTCCAGTTCA